CCAGCCCGAAAGAGCACCTCTTCAGCATGGAGCTCACTCTCTTCCCACATAGTCTTCCTCACCTGGAGAGGCTGCCTCCCCCGTGTACAGCAGAGTGTGCACCTTTAGGAGCGGGAAGGCGCCTTTCATCAGCTCATTAGACTTGCTCTGGTCTACCGTGGCAACAAGTGTTTGCTCCAGCAGCTGCTCCCCAGTCTGGCTTTCTTCTCAACGTTCTGTCTCAGCGTTTATGGGAAACACAGCGGAATGAAAGCTGCTGTGGAGGAACCTTTGAGACGGGGCGTCTTAACGCAGTCCTCAGCTCTCTGAGCAGAGATGCCAAGCCCTGGGGGGGAGGCTCCATCTCCATGACCAAAATAAACCTTGGGAAAGCTCCTCTTCAGTTTAAGTTGCTTATCTGTAAGAGGTCAGAGCTAGCCAAGTTTTCTAGCTGTGCCTAGAAAATTCAACTTTATTAACATTCTATTAGCGATAGCACAGCGGGTAGGGCGTTTCCTTTGTACGCTGCCAACCTGGGTTTGATTCCTTTGTCCTTCTCGTAGAGCTACTGAGAGTATCCTGCTGGCACAGCAGAGCCTGGCAAACTACCCATGGCCTATTCGATTTGCCAAAAACAGTAACAACAAGTCACAGTGAAGACGTTACTGGTGCCGGCTCAAACAAATAGATGAACAATGGGAGGACAGTGCTATTAACATTCTATTACTGAACACAGAGCTACACAATCCACTGCTGAAGAGAGCATTCCTACTTCTCTAAGTCTCCAGGAGTACAAAATAAAACAGCTAAATCTGTGCTCCTGTAGGTAGTTTGAAGGGAGAATTCATCCCCTCAGCTTTCCAGATGTTTGAGGTAGCCTGCCTTTCATGCCTCTGGTTCACCGTAACTTCTGCTTCCACTGGAAAATCATCGAGTTCTGTCTCTCCTGACAGTTTTTTAAGGACCCTTGTAATTGGCCAGCCACATTTGAATTATTATCACCAGGTCGAGATCCTTAGTCATCGTCAAAGTCCATTTGGGACCAAGTAAAGAAAACATGTGTTCTGTAGCTTAGAATTTGTTCTGTGGACATTTGGGGGTAGTCATCCACTTACCACAAGGAGGCAGGAAAACAGCTTGGTGGTCATCCCGATGTATGACCCAGGAATTCCATTGCCACATGCTGGAATTCCTGGGAAAAAAATAAAACCAATAGCCCTGAGGCTGCAAAAAGCCCACTTTGCAGAAAATAATAACAAATGTCTGATAAGGCTTCATCTGGCACCAACAGACCCAGAAAAGGGAGGACCCCCCTCCCAGAGAAGCTCCAGCAGGAACATAGGCCAGGAAAGAAATTTCAAAGAGCACCATAACAAATCCCAACTCTACCCCAGGCAACCGCCCTCCCTAACAAAGGACTTTTACCTAGGTAGAAGCCCCAAGTGGGGGCAGATTGGAAAAACCTTATAAAAGTCACCTTAAATAAAGGAAGGGAGTATATATGCTGCCCGAGCCCATGTGCTGCTTGTGCCCATGTAGCTGAGCACAAATGTCACCCGCATCTCCTTTTTTGAGATGTGCCCTCTTGAGATGCACTCTTGGTCTTTTTTTTTTTAAATTTTATTGAATCACTATGAGAATCACCATGTTTGGGTTACAATCACACAATGATCAAACACCCATCCCTCCACCAGTGCACATTCCCCACACCAATGTCCTCAGTATACCCCCCCTTTCTAACCTTTCCCCTGCCTTCATGGTAGACAATATTTCACATACTCTCTCTCTAGTTTGGGGCATAATAATTTGCAATACAGACACTGAGAGGTCATCATATTTGGTCCATTATATACTTTCGGCACACATCTCCCATCCCGACTGATTCCTCCAGCCATAATTTTCTTAGTGATCCCTTCTCTTTTCCATCTGCCTTCTCCCCTCCACTCATGAGGCAGGCTTCCAGCTATGGGACAATCCTCCTGGCCCTTGTATCTACTGTCCTTGGGTGTCAGCCTCATGTTATGTTATTCTGTTCTCCACAAATGAGGATGCACTCTTGATCTTGAAATGCGTTCTCCTTTGAGTGAGTTACTCTCTCTTCCTTTGCTCTACTTTTGTTTCCTTCCCAAAAGCTTCCAAATAAAATGTTTCTTCACCTCACTGCTGATCTATTCCTGAAGTTCCTTTCTGTGAGAAATTCGACCCGGAAACCATGAGTAAGGCCTGGGATTGACTTTTCTCTCCTGCAATGAGCAATTCCTTGCTCCAACCTGAGTCCGTGGCTCCTTGATAAATTGGGTGGCAGGGATCAACTCCCCTGCCGAGAAGAACAAGCAGATGTCAGGTGTAACTTGACTGCCACTGGTAGGACTGGCAGGGCTGCCAGGAGCTCACCCATAGACTTTATCAGTCCTAGCCTTCCCTGCCAATCCCAGGACGGAAGAAGAGGATGGGGAGGAAGTGACCATCTCTCTCCTCTTTGCCTCACATAAGCCACCAGTAGGGCTGCACTAAATTTATTCTTTTACTATGCCAATTAAATAAGGACATCTGTAAAGTTTTCTTGGTTCTAATATGTTATATAAATAGGATACAAGCACATGGAAGAATCAGAATCCAAAAACCATTTTTTTTTTTGCTTTATCATGCAGCAAAATAATGCTCCTTCCTTTACAAGACCCAGCAAATGGCTGATTTTTCACACAAAATTCAGTTTCCTTCTCATACCATGTCAATCTCAGGAAAGGATTTAGAATTAAAGAGAATGTTGGAAGAGAAAGCAGAATAATTAAATACTAAAGACTTTCAGTGTCACAAAATGACAAATATTTCTTCCTCTAAGAACCTGAGAGAGTGACAGCTCCGTTGGTGGTTTAACGGTGGTTTAACTCAGTTGATGACTGTGCTGTTGGTAGGTTGTGTGGAAAACCAGAGAGACAGTAGCTTTTATCTATTTATTTTTGACTGCACCTGGCATTGCTCAGGACTTTTTCCTGGCTCTGTTCTCATGAATCACTCCTGGCAAGCTCAAGGGACCATGTGGACTACTGGGGATCAAACCCAGATTGGCTGTGTGCCAACCATAGAGGCACCTTAAGTGCTGTATTATGACTCAGGGTCCAGAGGTCATAATTTTAATTCTTCTGCCCTCCCTCTTGACCCAACTTGATTTCCCTGGGGAAGTGCCTGTGTGGGTAGGGTTGGGCTGTGGAGTCATGAGCATCCGTAGAGCATGTGTATTAGGGTCCCCCAAGGCCACTCATCAAGCTGCAGCTGAGGTGCCCTTGATCGACTGGACCCCATCAATATCGGGTAGGGGTGAGGGGATATTTGCAGTGGATGGATAGTCCTCCTTTTCTCTGCCTCTCAGGTTCATCATCTCCACTCTCCCAGATGTGCCAAAACTGTATCTTCTCCAGAGAGGAGAGAGCCCCATGAAGTAAAAAAATATATATATATATATATATATATATATGCACATACATATACATGTATACATGAATATATACATCTTAACTCAGAGGGGAGGGCTGCTTTTTGCAAAGTTGTTTTTGTGAGATTTTTTTCTCCTGCTTGGGAATTTCTCTGTAGATAAGAATCTACTGCTGGGAAGTTGCCAAGGGGGGGTGAAGACTTTGAATTTTGGATGGTTAGTCTTATGATCTGCTGAGGTTTCTCCTCTTCTTAGGGGGCTCTGTCTCTTCTGGGCCTGCCTGGCCCCATTTAGTCTATCAAGTCTCAGTTCTTACATTCCCCAAGGGACTGAAGCCTTTGGACTGGAGATAGCAGCTTCTTTAGATCATCTTGGATTTATTGCTTTCTGAAATTCATTGCCAGGGCCCCTGCCTGCCTCAGTTGAAAGAAGTCCACAATTTGTTTCTTAGCAAAAGATCTAGTATATAAAGATCCAGATTTCCTCCAGCTTATACAAGTGAATTTTTATGAGATATGACGAATGGGGTCTAGTAGAGTGACAGTGGGAAAACACAGGGGATGGGTAATTGCAGGATAAAATGAGCATCCCTAGGAGCTAATGATCTGGAGTAGGCAGTAAGTAACTCTCCAGGCTCAATTAAGAGGCTGGTATTCAGCTGTGGAGTATTAATGAGATTAACACGGCAATTGTGCCCAAGGAAATGAGAACCTTATTAGTATTCCTTTCCTTCCCCAAGAGGAAATTGTTCTTTAATTGGATTATTAAGTACAAAGGAGAATGTGACTAAATCTCTTTAAGTTCTCAGGGAATGCTGTCCACTTCGAATTAATTTGAGTTAGGAGATACTTTGCAAGGAGAACGCTAAATTTCCATGGTAACATCTGGTTTCCCTGCCTTCACAGAGGAAAATGATGCCAGGGAATAGAAGTGATTTCCTGATCTTTTCTTTCCCACAATCTTGTGTGAGTAGAGGGTGATTACATAGTTACCTAATTGTAACTATGGAGACTGCTTGAGTATCCCATATACACATCTTATATTTACTATTCCAGAAATTAGACACAATCCCAACCTCTCTCCGACCACAGAAGTCACCGAAGAGAAAATAAGTCCCCCGGGACCCATCTTTCTGTTGTGAGGGGACTCTTCTTCATTCAAAAGGAATAAATCTGTTGTCAAGTTCCACTGCTAGTTAAATCTGGTACTGCTAGTTATGGAGGTGGGGGGTCAGAAAGACTTTTTTTTTTCTTTTTGGGTCACACCCGGCAATGCACAGGGGTTACTCCTGGTTCTGCACTCAGGAATTACTCCTGGCGGTGCTCAGGGGACCATATGGGTTGCTGGGAATCGAACCCAGGTTGGCCGCTTGCAAGGCAAACGCCATACCCACTGTACTATTGCTCCAGCCCCAGGAAGACATTTTCTTATTTGCACCCCCACACACCAAAGCCTGCTCAGGGTTGTGTTAGGTACTGAATCCACAAACAAATGCCTGCAAGATTCACTAACAAATCCTTAAATGCCACTTAATTCTAAAAGAAGCAACTGACTCGCACAGTCTCAATCCATTTATTTAGAAGTCCAATCAGCGATTTAACATCACGGTTCTTTTCTTGCATAGGTATCTGATGAGGCCGAGGGTTGCGAGGATGCCTGCGAAGGTAACCACAGCAGCTGCAGCATTGAAAGCAACATAGCCAGCAGTTCCATGCCCTCTGGAGCCCACGGGGTCTGGAGAGGAAGCAGACATTGAAGTCTTAAGACCACATTTAAGTTCTAAGCCAAAGTCTTACATATTAAGATGCTCCAGAGAAGGAAGGGAAATTAAGCCTCAAAGGACTCATTCAGAAGCTCGCGATAGGGCGGCTCATTCTTACAGTCTAAACCTGAGTCACCCTCTTCTTCTTGATCCATTCATGCTCCTAGTTCCACGTCGCCTTCATTTCCACTAATATTTTTTGAGGTGTTTGTTTTTTTGTGCCACATCTGGCAGTACTTAGGGCTACTTCTGTTCTTGGGGTCACTCCTAAAAGTGCTCAGGGGAGTATGATGTAGCAGGTTTGGACCTTGACCTCCCACATGCAAAACATGCATTCAGTCTGTTTTACTAATTTAAAAGTCAGTGGGCTGGGGGCCTGAGTGTGATAGTACAGAGGGGAAGGCACTTGCCTTGCACGCAGCTGACCTGGGTTTGTTCCTGGAATACCATATGGTCCCCTGAACACTGCCAGGAGTGATTCCTGAGTGCAGACCAGGGCATTGTAATAACCCTCCCCTCAACACGCACCCAATCCCCCCCAAAAAGTCAGTGCACTGACACCTGGGAAGGATCTTGGGAGTTTCTGCATGTTGTATAATCCATTATCCACATACTAGTATAATCCATTATCCACATACTAGTAAAGTAAGTAAGTAAAGGCCCTCCCATTGTTCATCGATTTGCTCGAGCGGGCCCAGTAACATCTCCATTGGAGATTTTGTTGTTACTGTGTTTGGCATATCGAATACATCACAGGTGGCTTGCCAGGCTCTGCCGTGCAGGCAAGATACTCTCGGTAGCTTGCCGGGCTCTCCGAGAGGGGTGGAGGAATCGAACTCGGGTGGGCCATGTTGGCTGCGTGCAAGGCAAACGCCCTACCGCTGTGCTATTGCTCTAGCCCTATCCACATACTAACAGACCTAATTAGCTATCCTGAATTCAGTGACTCTTTTGCAAATTTGGGATTTACCCGATTTCAAATTCTGAGCCTAAAATTAAGATCAGAAATGAAGATATGAGGCCATTAACAGAAACAGACTAAATGTCAACTAAGCTTGACAGTAGCAAGGCATGTGCTTTGTGACCTGATAGTCCTACTTCTATGAGCATCCAGAATTTCTTATATAGTAACTAAAAATAGTGAAAGCACTCCAATGCAGCATTGATGACAAAATCAGAAATAACCTAATATCCATGAAAGAGGACTAATTAAACAGCGTGGATGAAATTCTATAGGTCTGTTAGTAAGGTAGGTTTGTACAGGTAAAAATTTAAAAGCATCTATAATTTAAAATTATAGAAAAGTAGGTAGAATTTATGATCCTGCTTGTGTTAAAGAGAAATTCATTAATAGAACTGTAAATCTCAGTTTAAAGGAATTTTTTAAAAGCATATGCAGCAGATTTACAAACTATTCTCAGGACAGATTCTTTTTCTCTATTACCAGCATGTGTTCACAGAATTAAAATCTGACAAGAACTAAAATCCAAGAAATACTTGTGGATTAAAATTCATACTTGTGGGTTAAAATTTATACCTTTAAATGAAGAGTCATCTGGCAACAGAAGGATGGGTCCTGGAAGACTTATTATCAATTTTTCTTCTTCAGTGACCTCTGTGGTTGGAGAGAGGCTGGGTTTGTGTTCAATTTCTGGAATAGTAAATAGTGGTAGAAGATGTGTACATGGGATACTTGAGCAGACCTCTATTCAGTTCCCTGATTATAGGGTTTTTTTTTTGTCTTTTCAGGAGAGGTCATATACCTCATTCCCCAAACAGAACAATCCCTTATAACTACACAACAAGGCACAGTGTGTGCAGTCATCTGTGTGCTATTTTGGGGCATGCTATTTTTTTCTTTTATGTCTTACTTTATGGAGCTCTTGCCTCTCTGTAGCTTTCCACATTCTCTTTTGAAAGCATGACCACCATTTCTCTCAGAAAGATGGAAGGAGAAAAGGAAGGAAATGAACTCAAAGGGTTAAGTTTGAGTCTACTGAGACTCGGGAAGAATAACATGTCCAGTCTTTAGAAGACCAGGCTGTAGGCTTATGTGCAAAAATCAATTAGTCCACAGAACTAAGGAGGAATCTAATAACTTCAGACTCATTGGCAAGGCAGACTGGACTAAGGTTCCTTGGGTCGAGGTGAAGAATGAGTCACTTGAAGACTTAAATTCTGAAAGGATGAGGTTTGCTTTGGGTAAGTCATAGCACCAGGGATGAGAGAATTTTTACCTCGCTTCTTCCTGTCTGGCACATTGCAAGTCACAGAACAGAGAGGGGAGTCAGGAGAAAGTTGATTGCAGATTAGGGAACTGCAGTGGAAGTAGACCTGGAGACAGGAAGTGTTAAGTGGAATCAATGCACTCTTATTTAACCCAGCCCAAGGGACTTGTTAATCACTTACCAGGTTAGAGAACAGTTGGGCTTGTGACACAAAGGCAAAGGTCTTCACATCAAACCTCTGATAGTGGGTAGGGTAGGTCACAGATGAGCCAACTGAATGGAAGGTGGTTTTGTGGCTGTCCAGGTTATAGTCACATCTAGGGGGCAAACACCAGGGAGGGACATGAACCATACTCACCAATGTTTGTTCTAGTTTAGTCATTTGTAAACACCTTCAATACTACTGTTCTATCTGTTCCTTTAACTTAAGATACCTTTTTGACTTAGCCTATCCAGTAATTACTCAAATAGTATTTAACAATAATTAACCATAAATTAACTAACTATATAAAAAGATATTAAATACAATAAATAAGATACAGATACAGTAAATAAAAAACAAATACACTTTACTGTTAACTATAGCTAGCAGTTACTGTTCATAGTTAATATTTGCATTAAATAATACTTATGTTAACATGTTTGACCACAAAACGCAGGAGCCACAAGCTTATATGTAGCTTTTCAGATGATAGTGGCTTGAGTTTTACTGAATTATATCCAAGGACGTTAGTACATTAGTGAGAAAAAGTAGCAAACTCATTTTTAAGTTTTGCATGCTAGTACAGAGTGATAGCTATAGAATTGTTGTATGTAATAGAATGTTGGGAAGAAAATACTAAGAAAAACGTTAGGTCAGGGCAATGAGGTGGTCAGGGTAAGTTTCATGGGGCAAAGCACATGAGAAAAGCTTTAATGAAGCCAAGAAATGAACTATGTGGCCAGTACATTCACATGATCCTGGGGCAGGCACATACATGGAGGTCAAAAGATTAGAGAGGGGCTGGAGTCATAACACAGCAGGTGGGGCGTTTGCCTTGCACACAGCCAACCCAGGTGCGATTCCCAGCATCCCTGAGCTCCGCTAGGAGTAATTTCTGAGTGCATGAGCCAGGAGTAACCCCTGCACATTGCCGGGTGTGACTCCCCAAAAAAAGCAAAAAAAAGAAAGAAAAAAGAAAAAGATTAGGAGATTACAACAGCTTCAAAAGAGATAAGGTACTTTGTTGGAAGAACAAGAGAACAAATGTCAATGAGCATGTGTTGTAGTCAGTCTCAGCATTATGGAGTTCAGGTCAAGAGTCAGATGGACAGTAAAATCCAATCACTTATTACTTTGGGTTAGTTATTTAAGCAGCAAGCTTTGAGTAATAAGGTGTCCAGTGTATCCCTCACAGAGGCATGAGGTTCAAGTAGTAAATGAGGAGCATTTAGCACCAAGCCCAGCCCACAGTAGATGTTCAGTACTGGATAGGATCAGGAGAGGACCTGTGCTCTCTCCAAATAAACAGTGTTAGAGCTCAAATCCCTTGGAAAGACCCACTCCCCTCCCACATTTTTTTGGTTTTGTTTTGTTGTTTATTTATTTTTTGGCTTTTTTGGGTCACACCCAGTGATGCATAGGGGTTACTCCTGGCTCATGCACTCAGGAATTACTCCTGGTGGTGCTTAGGGGACCATGGGATACTGGGAATCAAATCCAGGTCGGCTGCATGCAAGGCAAATGTCCTACCCTCTGTGCTGTTGCTCCAACCCCCCACATTTTTTTTTTGGACACAAAGTTAATGGAGGCCTGCTGCCAGGGTTGGGTCCCTTGTTGTGGGGAGGGCTCTCACCAACCCTACAAGCTGGCGCAGAGTCATTTACTACCCAACCACCGCCACACTCCAGGCCACTTTCCGGACGCTCAGACTGAGCCTCATGCATGAATGAAGTCCCATGGAACCCAGATAATATGGAACTTTGTGACCTTAGACTCTGGACTCAGCGGGACCCAGGAACAGATCTCTGCCTGCTTCCCCCAGTCTCCCATGACTCAGGAATCACACCCATAGGCCACACCCTGCCAGCACCAGATAATCTCATCTTCCAGAACTCAGGATGCTCCTCCCAGACAGGAGTATAAAATGAGGCTCCCAGAACCATGCCACTGGACTTCGCACCAGGCTGTGGGGTGGGTGAGAGCCCTCCCCACACCAAGGGACCCTGCCCCAGCAGCTGACCTCCACTACTCAACCACCACGCTCCAGGAGCTTTCCAGACCACACGGCTGCATGACACATAAGACACTTCCTACCCATTTTCCACAATTACTACACCATATCTGATGGAGTAAAGACAGTATGCAACAAATCATAGAGAAAATTATATAAATATATGCCTCTCAGAGAGCCCGGCAAACTACCGAGAGTATCCCGCCCACATGGGCAGAACCTGGCGAGCTCCCCATGGCATATTTGATATGTCAAATACAGTAACAACAACAGGTCTCATTCCCCTGACCCTGAAAGAGCCTCTAATCGTTGGGAAAAGATGAGTAAGAAGAGGTTGCTAAAATCTGGGAGGAATAGAGACGTTACTGGCGCCTGCTCAAGTAATTTGACGATCAACGGGATGATAGTGATGATGACAGTGGTAACAAAGTTAACGAGAAAACATGAGTCATCTTATTCAAGACTGGTATAAAGGAAACAAAAACGAGTTTTACCAAAGCTCTCCTAAAGTTCAGGATTATTTCTCTTTTCCTAAGCGATTTGTGGTGGATTAAATTAACTAGGTGACTGGATGTGTGATTACCTACCCATTCACCACAATATTCCACTGTGGGAGAGAGGCTGGGTCCGAGGTGGGTGTCGCCCAGCAGTCATCTAAGACCAACTTGATGTTGGGATCAGTTCTATTTAAGATTTTCACTTCCAGGTAGATTGGTTGGCGGAGGTATTTCACCACAGGGTACTCCTTGTCCCCATAAGGTTGAAGGTAAGAGTCATCTGAAATGGAATGGAAGTTTCTTCTGTGCTTTAAGCATTGCTGCTACACCAGCAGCATCAAGAAGCTCATTTTTTGTGCATCAGAATCTCAATTTAGGGAAGAGTTCCTAAAACACTCAGTTTTCTTTGGTTTCAAGGTCTCACCTGGGTAGGTTTGCAAGATCAAGGCAAGTGGACCTGGCTTTGAAGAAGCCACTGGAGGAGGAAGACTTCCAATATTGGTCTTTATTAGCATGGTATCCCTGATGTAATAGCACCTCACTGTCATTCTAGGTAGTTAAAGGGGTGGGGTACAGAGAATTTTGGGTTAGAAGGCTGAAGAATTTGATCTGGAAATTAAGTATCAAGAAGTCATTGAATTATACCTGAATTCACTGTCTCTGGAAATTTTGCTTGGAGGAACATCTGTCCAGAGAGCATGTATTTCATTTTCATAGAGAACTTTGTCATCTTGGAACTTAAGATATTAGAGAATATGGTTAACAAGTTATCTCAAAAATAAAGTCTTAATCTCTTGTCATCTGATAGCAACATACCTTGTAGGTTGTTCCACATCCATTCAGGGGTATGTGAAACTGTACCAGTCCCTGAACCGGAGTCTTGAAAGCAGGTTGGCAGGAGGAGTCTCCCACTCTGAGGGTACTCAAGTTGAGAGCTGGTGTTGTTTGATGGCTATAAACCTCAACATTTATGAACCCATCTTGGGTGCACAGCTCACCTGTAACTAGATAAGTTCAAAGTAGTATATCATCTGAGATTTGTCATTCACCTGCCTGATGTATGATGAGGGATAACTTTCTATTTTTCTTTGGTGGAGCAATAGCACAGCGGGTAGGGCGTTCGCCTTACAAGCGGCCAACATGGCCGACCCGAGTTCGATTCCTCTGCCCCTCTCGGAGAGCCCGGCAAACTACCGAGAGTATTCGATATGCCAGACACAGTAACAACAAATTCTCCAAATGGAGACGTTACTGGGCCCGCTCGAGCAAATCGACGATCAACGGGAGGGCCTTTACCTTTACCTTTACCTTTTCTTTGGTAAGCACCGTGATAATGAGTTTTAGTTACAAGAGGGATAGTAGGTCTCCAACAGTTGCTTTATTCAGGAGGAGGAGAAGAGGGAGAAGATGAAAGGGAAAGTACCATGTGGGGTAAGATACAGGAAAAACCTTGATGAGGGGCTAGAGTTACAGGTCAGCATCTCATGACTGAAAATGAGGTGCCTTGTTATAATAATAATAAGTTAATAATAAGTCCTCCTGTTGTTCATCGATTTGCTAGAGCGGGCCCAGTAACGTCTCCATCATGAGACTTGTTGTTACTGTGTTTGGCATATCGAAATACGTCACAGAGAGCTTGCCAGGCTCTGCCGTGTGGGCGAGATACTCTCAGCAGCTTGCCGGGCTCTCCGAGAGGGGCGGAGGAATCGAACTCGGGTCGGCCATGTTGGCCGCATGTAAGACAAACGTCCTACCGCTGTGCTATCGCTCCAGCCCATCCTCTCAAATTCTGAGAGATGGGGGGAAGGCAGGAATTTTAAAAAACTATTCTGTTTGACCAAACTAATATGGATTAGAGAACAGGGGCATCTAAACACTCAGACCAGGGACAGAAAAATAGAATAGCAGGCAGGATGTCTGCCTTGCATGCAGTTGATCTGGGTTCAATCCCCAGCACCCCATGAGTCCCAGAGCACCACCAGTGCTTGAGTACATTCCCTGAGAGCCAGGAGTAAGCCAGACATAGCTGTGTATAACCTTCCCTCTGACAAAAAAAATTCCCAGTCCTGGGTACTTTGGTGGTCATGGGGTACAGCAACTTTGACTGCTATAAACTTTCACACAATTCTAATCATGTTAACTAAACTATGAAAAATATTAAGGCCATATTCCTTTTGAGGACATTACTAGAATTTTCAGAAAGTTTAAATTTATATAATTCTAATTAGAAGTGAATAGTTTTTTCTTTCTTGGGGGTGGGGGTGGTTGGGTGGGCCTTCCAAGCAGTGCCCAGAAGGTTCAAGAGCCTTACCAGTCAGTGACTCTGGTCAACTGGACTATATATCCAGCATAAGAGCCCAGGAATGCGATGCTACTTGGGCCCTGTGATGCTAGAGATAGTGAGGAGATGTCCAGCAGGACTGGGGTACCACGCAATTATGAGGAATCAAACCCAGGTTAGGTATATACCCTAACTGCTATATTATCTCCCAGTCCCAGCAGGAACACACACACACACACACACACACACACACACACACACACAGGTTTTGGGGCCACACCCAGTGGTGCTCAGGGCTTACTTTTGTCTCTGTGCTCACGAATCACTGGCCTCCAAGGACTATATAGGGTGCCAGGGATTGAATAAATCCGGGTCAGCCACATGCAGTGCTAGCACCATACTCATTGGGTTATTTCTCTGACCCATCTGACTGATTTTATGTTAGAGACCAGAGCTACCATGAAACAGTGAGAGAAGGTAGGATGACATTTCTGACTTTTGGGTCACACCCGGTGATGCACAGGGGTTACTCCCGGCTCATGCAATCAGGAATTATTCCTGGCATTGCTTGGGGGTCCTTATGGGATGCTGGGAATTGAACCCAGGTTGGCTGTGTGCAATGTAAACGCCCTCCCCGCTGTACTATTGCTCCAGCCCCTAGAATGACATTTCTGGTTTAGCCAGTCTTTAGTTTTGGAGTTTGAACTCTCACATGCACAAGAGCGAAGGGAGAAATAAATACAGAACCAAAAAAACAAACCAAAAGATTTACCTATAGAAATTGATGACTCACAAAGACACTCGGGATAAATCACCATGGATACTGTCTTCCGTTGGAAGGAAAAGTTCAGTTTGAGTATAGATAAGTAGAACTGGTAGGAAAGGCATTTTTCAGAAAACTGAAATGAAAAGAAAATAAATTAGCAGTCTCAGCCCGTCAGAGTCCAGAGCATGCATAGGAAGGCAAAAAGGAAATAGACCGACTACCCGCAGGGCACCCCTCAGATTGGGTTTCCCTTTAAACCAGACCAAGAGAGACACCCTGGCATATCTCCAGATCAGTTATTTTCCAGAGGCAGGAAAAAATTCTGCTTTAAATGCAGACCCTAAAGTGTTGCATGCTTTTTTGTACCAGGCACTAAAGCTTAAATTAACAAATTTTATTCCTAAGAGCCTACTCTCCTGGCAAGACAAGTCTGAATAAAAAGGATTATAAAAAATTTGCAATGTATCTATCTTTTTTTCCCCCCCGAACACACATACCCGAAGATTATTCCCTGCCAATTATATCTGTTAAAACTGACTTGGACCTTTTGAGAGACTGTTATTTGAATCAAGCTTCCTGTTCATCAGTAAAAACTTAAATTAGTGAAATGAGAAAAAAATTCTGTGGCAGAGATGAAAGAGTTTGGGGTTTTGAGAGCAGATTTTAGTGACTTGGAAATCTGTACAAAGTGATCCCATGAGACTTGCAAACTTCCAGAATGCTCAGTAGAGGATAATAGAACATACCTTCATTCTGAGAAGAGTTTTGCTGAAATGTAACCTTAAGCCGTTATTTTCTTCGATACTGATCCCATGGTTGTGCAACTGACTCACGGAAATATTCTTTTTGTCGAATTGCAAAGAGTTTAGTTTGCCAGGAAACTCTGGTATGGCGAGAGTCATGTGTGTAGCATTACAGGTCACAAGATCTAAAAGGAATAGACCAACAGATCACACAGGATAGGCCTTGAGGAAGCTCCTAGAACACTGTCTCCCAGAGTATCATACTAAGTGTAATGAGTCAGAAAGACAGAATGACTGCACTCATTTGTGGAATAGAAAATAACATGAGACTGACACCCAAGGACAGTAGACACAAGGGTCAGGAATATTGCTCCATGGTTGGCAGCCTGATTCATGGCAGATGGAACTAGAGAAGGGATCACTAAATTAATGATGGCTGGAGGGATAGTTCTGGATAAGTGATGTGTGCTGAATGTAGATGAAAGGACCAACCATGATAGCCTCTCAGTATTTGTATTGCAAACCAAAAGTAGAGAGAAGATGGGGGAATTGTCTACCACGGAGGCAGGGAGATGGGTAAAATGTTGGGGGGGGGCAGTACTGAAAACATTGGTGGTGGAAAATTGCACTGGTGGAGGGATGGGTGTTCGATCATTGTATGACTGAAACTCAAACGTGAAAGTTTAACTGTATCTCAGGGTGATTAAAAAAAAAAAAAGAACACTGTCTCTCATGGGCAGGAGCGATAGCACAGAGGATAGGACATTTGCCTTGCAAATGCCAACATGGCCAACCCAAGTTCGGTTCCTCTGCCCCTCAAAGAGAGCCCGGCAAGCTACCAAGAGTATCTTGCCCACACGGCAAAGCCTGGCAAGCTACCCGTGATGTATTCGATATGCCAAACACAGTAACAATTGTCACAATTGTCACATTACTGGGCCCGCTCAAGCAATTTGATGAACAACGGGAGGACAGGGACAGTGACTGTCTCCCATGACCGAAATTGTCACTAAGATAGGACCTTACCTGTCACGCACATCATTTGTGCAGAGAAGGTCATCTTCTGCCCTGGATTTACAAAAACAAGCTGCAGAGGCAGTGTGTAGAGATGACTGTGGCCTTGCTGTGTGGGGTAGGGAAGAGAAATTTCAAAAGACATTGATGTACTTGAACTTCCGATCAACACTAGAAGAATAATCAGTACAAGGATACACTCAGGCACTGGGTATCTTTTAATCTAAACAGCATTTAGAATTGTGTCAAAATTGCACTTTGGCAAATCAACTGATTAGGAAAACTCTACAGATCTAATTAGTTCGATATTCACAGCTGTTGATAACTAATCATTTATTGGAAGATCTGAACAAAGTTCTTATTTTGTGACTATCTTTGTATTATCAATATTCAGAAAGAACATTTCAGATTCTGGTCTATTTATGCAACCAGGCTGTTACTAAGTGGTGGAGACTTGAGCACTTAAACCAAGTCTTGGCATCATCGTGCGTTGGCCCATTAACTATTTCAGCCATTTTGCTGGTTAGCCCCCCAAATACCAGTCCTTTCTGTGAAAAACAGTAGAATAACAGTGCCAAACATAATGCCTTAATAAAAAACTTATTATATAGGTAGTAGTTATGGATCTATTGGGAAGAGAACAGGTAGAAGGGCCATTACTGGTTATTCATTCTTTAGTACTCCTGAAATGACTGGAAAATGGACATTGATATTCCTGTTGAATGAGTTTTATTCTCAAATTAATTTAAAGACATAGCTGAAATCATTCTTGAATTTACAATATTTTCATTTATCAGGGATATGCAAATCAAAATGCAAATCACCTCACATCAGTGAGATTAGCATCCATCAAAAAGAGCAGAAACCAGTGATGGTGGAGATGTGGAGGTAAAAGAAACTCATTCACTGTTGGTGGAAATGCCACCTTGCATAGCTTCATGGAAAGCAGATAGAGACTTCTTAAAAACTTAAGAATTGAGCATCCATATGACCCAACAATTCAATTTCTTAGTTATCTATTTTAATAGTGCCCTCCCAATATTTTGAAATTGTATTTGCACTTCTTTGCTCATTCGGGGGAGGGGTTTGGGCCACACCTGTGGGGGCTTGGGCTACTTCTGATTCAGTTTCAGGAGAGCACATGGACGGTTTGGGATCATTGAATGGTGGGTTGCAGGTAGGGAGCGCACCTGCAAGGCAAGTGCCTGAGACCCGATTCTATCTCTCCAGCCTTCTGCACTCATATGTTGGTCACAATAGCCAAGACCAGGTAATAAGCCAAGTGCCCAAGAACAGATGAGTGGATAGAGAAACTGGTACACATGCACAATGGAATATTGCTCAGCAATAAAAAAATGAAATCCTGTAATTCATTTATGTTGATGACATTAGAGACTTTCTGTTGATGACATTAGAGACTATTCATGCTGAATGAAGTCAGAGGGAAAATTGCACACTGGTTTCTCTCTTATGTGGAATATAAACAGTAAGAATTTTAGGTGGCCAGTGGTTAACCCCTGAGAGCAGGCCACAGAATCTTGTTTGCCACTAGATTGGGTGGGTTAGGGGTGCTGGGGGCAGAGAGGATCTGGAGGCATTGGTGCAGGGGTGCTGGCACCCTGCTGGGGTTGTGCTGTTGGAACCTTATATACCTAAAGCATTTCTCTTAATAGTATTGTAAATCCTGTGCCCAAATAAAAATCAGAAGAAAAACTATTTATCTGAGCCTGGTGGTGTTCTATCAAGATATCAAACCTACCATGTGGTGGATCACTCCAGTGGCATTGAATGGCACATAGATTGTTATCCTTTTGCTTTCAACCAGGAGCTTATATCCTTGTTCCGTAGCCTCGTTTAAGTTCAGGCTTTGGGTTCCTGCTTCATTAACCACAATGCTCCATCCCATCTCCTCAGAGTCTTCCTAAAGTCAAAAATTTTTATCTTGAGGACCATTGCTCATCTTCAGAACAAGACTATTGTTTACTTATAAGGATTACAGTCATGCCAACTTCTAAGCCAGAATTAAAGTTTGTTTAGGTCAGTAAGTTAAAAAATTGAAAAATTAACTTTCATACCAAATGTTCATCAGCCAGTTGAGGAAACGTTTCAAAGGAGAACTGTTAGGGGGAAAAATACATGTGAGACTTTGGTTTGGAAGAGAAAGTTTCTAAAACCATATTGCCTGGCAGTATGTGTAGAACACCCAGGGATGTTCTACATGGCACACCAGAACTGCCATGGCAGTCTTATCCTGAGGGCCTAGTGTGGAATGGAGCAGGATAATCACAAGATCAGTCATGAATTCTACTTCTAATTCCAATGGCAATTGGAATATCTAAGTTCCCGTCTGGCTGTTAAGTTGAGAGGTTCTTAAATGTGTAAGAACTTTTACTCAGTCTGTAGAAAGTTATGCAAGGTCACAAGTTCTAACACAGTTATAAGAGGATGATTTTTGTTGTCCACTATTAATACTAATTAATATTAATAATATTAATATAAATCTAGATTATAAAACACATATGACTGGTCTCATTTACTACAAAGTCCCTTGCACCTGGCGGAGGGACAGGCACATTATAGGCATTTAGATTGTCAAACAATTATTAACGTGTCTGCAGCTATCAAATAAATATTTTCCATGGTCATGTATAATATACTGACACTGTATAGGCTGTTATAATTCTCAGTCACCCAATAAGTTATGTGTATTTTTCCTAAACTTCAGACTTGCAATCGAAGTTCCAACATGGTTAAGAAATCAGTTGAAAGCCACACAGCAAGTTAGTGAACACAAGATCGAAATTCCTAAGCCCACTGTGGTCTACAATTCCCCTGCCATAGTAATATGAAAGGTAACTAGCCAGTACTACTCACAGACATGAAATCCTTCATGCAGATTGTAGATCCTAAAAGCTTAATGGCTTCAGAGGGAATGTCAGGACAACTGATGTAATGTGTAGAGATCTTTTCTTTGGAAGTATTTATGAAAACGGTCATCATGTACAGGTTAGGCTGTGTGAAAAAAGCATAATTAGTGCAGTAAAATGTACTTTAGAGGGAAATGGAATTCCATAATCTCATATGAGATGCCATAGAGATAGTCTAGTGGGTAGGGCTCTTGACTTGCACAAAGCCAACCCAGATTTGATCCCTAGCACCACAATATGGTCCTTCGAGACCCAACAGGGTCATTGATCATTGAATGAAGATCCAAGAGCAGCACTTCTGGGTGTTGCCAAAAAGCAAAAAAACCAAACCAGTGTCATCTGACTTAAAAGTCCCCTGAATTACAAATCCCTTGAATTAACCAATACCATGGGTTCTAAAAAGGTACTCTGCCTCTATATCAGGAGATAACACCTTTCAACTACCCCAAGACTCGTGTATTAATAGAAAGTGGTTCCTTTGACTATCAAGGATTGGAATTCAACTTTTGCTCTTTTTCTTTTGACTTCCCTGTTTTAAGTATGTTCCTAGACGGGTTGAAACCTGAGTCATTCAAGTGCTTCTTGAACACATCTGTAGCAGTTATTGTGCTGAGTGGAGGGCAGAATCACCACCTTCATTAAGAGTTCAATTCCAATTTTATTCTATTCAGTAAAAGTCAGTTTTTAGTTTGTAGGCCATATTAACTGAAAAGATCTTAAAAAAGTTATTCTTAGCTCAAGGACCACACGGCATACACCATGAACAATATCTACGAGCTTGGTTTGCAGATTCTGATCTAGAGGTATGCAATTTTTTGTTTTGGGGCCACACCTGGTGATTCTCAGGGCTTACTTCTGACTCTGCTTAGGGATCATTCCTGGCAGGCTTGGAAGACCATATGCAGTGCTGGTCTGACTAGGTTGGCGTTTTGCAAGGACAAGCACCCTGTTTGCTGTTAAGGCCCCAGAGATATGGAATTATAAGCTCCCTAAAGTTGGGAGGCTTGTTTAAGGATGTCAACATTCCTAGAGTTTTTCAAAAAGGGTACGAGCTTATTTACAGGGCAATCAGAAAACTCTGTAGATCAAGAGGATTTGATGTTCAAGCTATTAGAGTACTGACACCAAGTTTAAACTTGTCCTTGCTTCAAAATTAGATGAAGCACCCTGTAAGCATGCAGTTTTCCACTAAATGATACAAATGTGTACTGTCCAAGTTCCCCAAGTGATTCTTTGCACATTACAGCTTGAGAATTTCTCTGCTTAGCCAGGTTGTGGCCTGATTGGGCACTCCTGTTGCTTGGCAATAGACAGCCCCATTTCTCTGCTGCTCTTGCTACCCAACACTGGTCCTCACAGCAGAGAAGTTCTCTATTGTTAGCACCAAAAAATCCCACATCCACCCTCCATTTTACATGAAAGATACAGATAAAAATAACCTGTGTTGGAGCATGGGGGAAGGGGGAGATCTAGGTGCTGTACTAAATTTATCTGACTATCTCATCAGATTTAAAATACCTTGAAAGAATAATGATCCCCCTTTTTTTGCTTTTTGGGTCACACCCAGCGATGCTCAGGGGTTACTCCTGGCTCTGCACTCAGGAATGACCCCTGGCAGTGCTTGGGGGACCATATGGGATGTTGGGGATCGAACCCAGGTAGGCACATGCAAGGCAAATGCCCTACCATTGTACTATCACTCCAGCCCCTGATCCCCTTTTTCTAAAGGATAAACAGAAGGAAAGGTTAACTTGCCCAAGATCATGTGACAGAACCAGGACGCAAGCCCAGTTCTTCCATGCCAACTCTTCTACGCCAGCCTCAGGTCTAATCTTAACATCTAACTCAACATTTAAGGTGTAATAACTTAGTTTGTAGGGGTGACACATTGTACAATGTAGATTATGAAGCAGCATCCTAGGCTTGGAGCTGCAAGATGCCAGTAACAATCTCCAAGATGCCTATAGTAAAAAACCCTAACTAGGTTCCACTGCTCTATTTCAATGCCTATCGCCTTAACCAGGATACTACTACTAGGAACTTCTCAAATTACTTCTCAAGAGATTACTTACCACTTTCCTGGCACAGGTCTGAAATGGGGCCAACGATATGAATTTATCTGGACTCAAGATATAATCGCAGTTCAGCCATTCAGCACCAGCACCTACATACAGAAGTTTAGATAGGATTGTGGCCAAGAAGTACATTTCAGTATCAGCCAAAACCACATAACCAAGACTTCCAATCCCTTTTGATGGCATTTCAATTTCTATTACCTTGGGTGACATAATCAGAACTTTGAGAGCTGCTAGGATTTGCAGCTAAACACCTTCCAGGGGATTCTCAAATAAGGTATTTCCAAGAATAGACAAGGTCTTCCACTCTTGGAGGTGTCATGCAAAGCAGACTTTTCTAGCATTGGAGGACTTGTGTGGCTGTTCTCCAGAGCCTACGTACCGTGCTTACCATTACAATCGGGCTGGCCATGAGCCAAAGACTCTCTGCTAAGACCAAGATGAGACAGAACAATTACCTACCAAACATAACTACATCCTGTCTCTCAGGATCTACAGGGTGTGTAAATATCAGCATTACTCCATCATCCATGCAAATGAAGGTCTCTGAAGAGCAAAAGAAGCAGGTGAGACCTAAGCTATAGAAAAACGTGATTTCTACCTAAGTCTGTGGAGGTACCTCTCCCTCCTCCCCAACAGGTATTAAGGAAGATACCAAGTGGAAAAAGTTTGTTTCGTTCTGTCAGAGTATACAACTTGTTGGGGAGACGGCTACCATCCAAGCAAGATATAAATAATTGTAAGAAAGATATCATTTCAGTACTTTTTTCCTTTTTGGGTCACACCCAGCAATGCTCGGGGGTTACTCCTGGCTCTGCACTTAGGAATTACTCCTTGTGGTGCTTGTAACCTGCCCACATGGCAGAGTCTGGCAAACTCCCCGTGGCGTACCCAATATGCCAAATATCAGTAACAATGATGGGTCTCATTCTCCTGACCCTGAAAGAGCCTTGAATATGGCACTTTTTAAAAATCTCAGGAGTAGGACGAAAGAGACGTTACTGGGGCCTGCTCGAGGCGATCGACAAATAACAGGATGGTGGTGATCGTGATCAGTGCTTGGGGGACCATAGGGGATGTGCCGGGGATCAAACCCAGGTTGGCCAAATGCAAGGCAAGCACCTTACCCTGTACTATCACTCCAGCCCCTCATTTAAGTGCTTGGGGCTTTCTGAAACTCTCCAGAGATAAGTTTGGGTTTTATTAACACACATACAGGGAACCAGGCTGGAATTTTGGCAGTGAAACTGATGGTATGTCTAAAGAACAGGCCAGATAACACAGGGATTAGGGGCTTGCCTTAAACACAGCTGAGCCAGATTGCTTCCATTTACGAATTTTCCACACATGGTCCCCTGAGCACAGAGCCAGGTGCGGCTCCCAAACCCTAGATGAATAAAACAAGGAACTGAAAAGCAAAGTTTTATTTCTAACACCTGGTTGTGCTCAGGGGCCACTCCTGGTAAATGAAAATGTCAAAGAGAGCTTTGTTCAAGAGGAACAACTCTAGTGTTGCCTGTTGTACTGAGACTTAAGCTTGAGTTGGTTTTTGAAAATAGCTCTTCCTCGAGAACAGAACTTGGGGTTGAGGTGGGTGCCTTAAAGTAGTGAAGGGGAAAAATGCGCCCTTACTTTTGTAAACTTATTTATAGAGTAACGTCTCCACTGGAGACTTTGTTGTTACTGTGTTTGGCATATCGAATACTCTCGGTAGCTTGCCGGGCTCTCCAAGAGGGGCGGAGGAATCGAACTCGGGTTGCCCATGTTGACCGCTTGTAAGGCGAACGCCCTACCCGCTGTGCTATCGCTCCAGCCCATTTATAGAGTAAGCAGTAAGTAAGCGATGGACATGTGTAGTGATTTGATCAATGTAAGGAAAGGGGCAAGTGGAGATTGTTCGACTCATATTTACGTTTTCTGGTTAACCAGATATTATAGCTGCAAGCTTTTTCTCTAAAAGGCATAACCCCCTCCCCCCATAAAAAAGCATACTTAAGTCAGAATTATTTGAAGCTCTTGCTGAAGTCACAAGGACGAAGAGGAGAGAAAGTGACCTGTGGGTTCGTGGAAAGAGATGAGAGTGTTAAAAAAAAAAAAGCACAAACTTCATCTCATGATCATTGCATCTCCTACGTCAGACCCCAGAATTACTCACCTCCAAATTGCACTGAATGAGCTGGAGGGTCCCCCATAATCTCTCTGCCCGTACGCCATGACCAAAAGCATCAGCGAACCAGCCAGCTTGAGGGTATGCTGCTCTGGGTTTTTTATAACAGGAAGCAGGCCCTAACTTTGCACTCTGGATTAAAGACACCTGCTCTTCTCCAGTTCTCCCAGCTGGAAAGAGAGAGGTATTCTAGAAGGTCTGGAAGAAGCAGAGTCTCGCCCTTACTGACACTAGCCCTGTGGGTATTAAAACCAGCTGTTTTGTGGGTAAACAGAAAAACCAGAGTTCCCTGAAATTTCTTCCAGGTGAATGAATTGATGTCTTTTTAATATTAAATATATTTTTATATTTATTCATGTAGTTAAGGTAACATGGTTACAATAATGTTACCTTTTTCTTTTTGGTGTTTATATATATAATATTTTGAAAAATTAAGATATTTTAGACAAAATATCTATAACTCTGTTGTAGAGTGCAAGAAGGTGGTGGGTTTTATTGAGGAGAGAACATTTCCTATTTGTACCACTCATCTTTCCTTGAAGTGTCCCTACTCATATTCTGACTCTGAGCATCTCCTGATTCCTGGTAATGCACAGAAAATACTTTATTTATTTATTTATTTATTTTTAAAAAGGATGAACCACAAAGAGATAATATGATGGATAGGGTGTGCTTCTTTGCACACGGCCAACCTTGGTTTGATCCCCACAATGCCTCAGCACTGCTAGGAGTAAGCCCCGAGCAAAGCCAGATGTGACCCCCCCCCCAAACACTCCACCTCCCCCCAAAAGATAACCTATATTTTCCCATAAGTTATTTGGAAATAATGTTTTTTTTTAATTTATATTAGTGAGACATCATGAGGTACAGTTGTAGACTTATAAATTTTTGTGCTTGGGTTTCAATTATACAATGATCAAATACCCATCCCTCCACTGTGCCCATTTCCCACCACCACAGATCCCAGTATCCCTCCTACCCCCCATCCCCACATCCCAACCTGCCTCTGTGGCAGGGCATTCCCTTTTGTTCTCTCTCTCTTATTGGGTGTTGCGATTTGCAAAAGAGGCAATGGGTGACAATCTTGTTTGGTCTATAGTCTACTTTCAGCATGCTTCTCCCATCTTGGGAGAGTCCTCCCAACACCCTTTATTTGGTGTGGAAGTAATGTTTTAAAATAAGTTAAAAATATTACAGAGAAAAGAAAAAACTCATCCATGCTTAATTTTAGTTAGGTAACTTTATAAATGTTTTCTACAAGTACCATATACAGTTTTTTAAAAAAAGACATGTGGCTGAAGTTTAAACCGTGTTTTATGAACTGCTCTGACTACTTTACAACTCATGGATATGTTCCATAATATAAAGACTTCTTACCATATTTAAATTTTCATCAATTGGTGCTTTTAACTATTCCCTGGAGATGTATATTAACATGGTTTACAAGTACTTATCAATATAAATGATAATGTAGTGGATATTCTTGAACATTTCATTGTGTAATCCTGAACATAAACTTCTGGAAGTGGAAATTCGGTGTCACAAGGAGTTGTGAGTTAACAAGAATCTCACATATTACAATGGAATTTTATATAAAGAAACTGAGGAAAAGAAATTTGCTCAAGCTTTGATAATTAAGTGTTAGGTTCAGGTTGAGAACTCAAAATTTCTGAGAGATAATAAACATATCTGTTCCGCATCTCTCATGGTTTTTTGAGATCTCTAGATTTCAGCTGCCTGTACTCTATCAGGGGTCCCATAATGCTCAAAATCTGTGCAAGCAATAGGGTAGCATTTGTAATTCTTGATTTATATGTCGTTTTAGTGGTATTTCTTGAGAAGTTGTCACCACTTCTAGTGACAGGACTTTGAGATACCATTTTAGATCAAAGTAGTGTTTTCCTAGCTTCTTTTATGAAAAGGATCATATGGAACTCTCATTCCTATTACAAATTCCTGGGTCTCATTTGAAAGCTGCTGTGTCAGGCTCCTCAGAGAGGGGCCTGGAGCAATAAATGCTTAACTAGCACTGCAGGTGAATATTTGATCAGGAACATTTGGAAAATAGGTAGAAGCAAGGGATTAGGAGGTTGACAGAGATGAACTTCTTTCATTCGGATTCCATCCTAGGAGAATTGGAAGAGGGATCAAAGTCCCATAATAAGCAAGTTTTGGAGAATAGACATAGTGGATGAATTTGGTTTTTTGAGCAGAAGCATTGAAACGGCTCCCTTTTCTAAAAAAAAAAAAAATTCCCCCAAAGTGGCCCCTTTGTTAGAAATGTGAAGGTCATTGGTTATCACAATGGTGAAGATGATGATGAAAAGATTTTGGAGCAGTGTTTCTCAACATTTTTATGACCATACCCCCTTTCAACTTTGTTTTATTCTTGTGACCACCCCCACCAGGCCCCACACCCCGCCTCATCTTACTTATTGGCCTCTTAGTCTTGTGCCATGTCCCTTCCATTTATGTGATTTTTAATATTTTTGCTTTTTTGCCATATCCAGCAATGCTTAGGGGTTACTCCTAGCTTTGCATTCAAGAATCACTCCTGGCAATGCTCAGAAACCAGATGGGATTCCAGAGATTGAATCCAAGTCAGCCTTGTGCAAGGCAAGCACCCTACCCAGCTCTACTATCTCTAGTCAGCGTTTATGTGACTTTTTAAAAGAAAACACTGTGACCCTCTTTGAGTATCCTAAAGGCCCAGAGGGGGCTAGATATCCTCCCTTTGAGAAAATGTGCTTTGAAAGAAGGAATGTTGGATTCAGACTCAGACTTATTAAGGAGCGAGTGAGAAAGCTAATAAACTGATGTGTGACTCTACCTTCCCAGGTCTCCTCAGTGTTGTCCACTCCCAACCCCCAAGTCTATGCCCATCCTCAGCAGATCAGCAGAATAAGAGAAAGCACTAAGGTCTTCAGCAGGAGCACGAGAGGAGCACTTTGAAAGCTGATTATGGTATCACGTGTACCAGAGTTTAATTGCATTTGTCCTGCCTGACTCATGCTGTGTTCTGTACTCTAGACCAATAGGAATCCTACAATAGGTATCAATCCTACATTGGTACATAAAGATATATATGTGTTCAGCGCAGTTACCTTTGAAAATGTGGAAGAAATGCTGTTCCATGATGAAAGGTTTCATTTTACTAGAGAGGAAAGATTGAAATTTTTTTATCAGGGCCAGAGGGATACTACAGTGGGTAGGGCATTTGCCTTGCACAGGGCCGACCCAGGTTC